CAAGTCCGCGTGGCTAAGCACAGCCTCCACAGAAATGTGTGTGTCCCCAATAGACATCCTCCCCGCAAGGCAGCAGAGCTACAAGCTCTCCGGTAGAAGCAAGCCACCCAGAGAGTGAGACAGTAACTTAAGAGCAAGGGGAGCCCCTCTGAACCCACCCTTTGATTTCCATGGTGGGAACAGTGAGTCTCCAAGCACATACTGCGTCCTGTGAAACAGAACTCGGCTTTTCCAGGCCAACTGGTACCAGCAGTGACTCAGTTGTTCCACGGCACCCTGGGGCTGTTTCTGGGATAGGGGCATGTGGTCAAGCTAGTAAATTTGCAAAAGCACCAATCTGTTGCTAAACGGGGGCGGCTCTGAAACGAGATCCCTGGTCAGAAACATGTTGTGTGGAACAGCATGCTGGTGAGGCACTCCACAAGGACCCAGATGGGCTGGCAGAAGTATTTCAGACGGGATAGCAAATAAACACCTCTCTCACTAGGACAAACCATGCTCCCTCCATGATGGAAGGGGGCCAATGTGACCAGCCTGCCAGCAGAGGGCTGGCTGACTGGCCCCTCTCCACCAGAATGGTCAGCTTCTAAACCACCTGCGAGACATTTTCCTGCCTTCTCCCACCCAGGCAGTTCTTTTTCTGGGAACCTCCTTTGGGCCCAGCAGCAATAGGTAAGTCTTCAGTCTAAAATCAGCTGAGCAAGAGTCAGGCGCCCAGGCTCAGAAGTTTGTGCCTATGCTGAGCTGGCTATAACTGCTGCCACCTCTCAAAAGACAGCACAATAGAAGAATGCTGGACACCCAGACCAGGCTTCCAGCCTCCACTGTTGGACTGAACTCCTGGGACAGGAAAGAAGTTTGCCTCTCGGGGTTGTTTCCTCATTATTGATACAGAATGGAAACACAAGGGGAGCCGAGGCCAGCAACACTTCGTTGCTGTTCTTTTTTGCGTTCACCCTCCCCATTGGTGACCTCAGCCGGTCCCTTTGCTCCCTTAAAACAATTCCTCTTCTGTTTTCTACTATTATATCTTAATATAATAATAATATATAAGCTTTAAATTTGCACATTTAATTTTTTGCCTTTTAGTAAAATGTCTTCTGCGAGGATATTATTAGCCTGTAGGACAGGAGGAAACAGGTGTTTTATTCCTAGACTAAAGGTTTCTCTCTCTCTCTCTCTCTCTCTCTCTCGGGCGCCCCGCCCCCCCCCCCCCGCCCGCCCGCGGGGGGGGGTGTGGGCGCACATGTGCACATCACAACACTGATGTGGCCAGAGGAGAACTTGTGGGAGTCGGTTCCCGCTCTCCGCCATGTGGATCCTGGAATGACAGCTGACAGCTCGTCTGCTCTAGACTAATTTTTTAATGCTTTGGGATCTTTTTAACTCACGTCACTTCTAAAATAAGCCAAAGACAAGAAGATTTAAGGGGCGTCTCCCCACGTTCTACCCCTTACTGCCTAATGCATTGAGTGAAAGGCCACTTCCGCCATCTTGTGGCTAAAACGGTGATTACAGACACACAAGACAACTATCCCGGAGGCAACATGTAGTTTATTGAGTGAACACTGGAAATTAAATGTGGGCTTTCTGAATTGAGATATAATGCCTGTGCAAATGTACGCTAGATCTTGAAGACTCGGTATGGGGGAAAAGTTAAAACATCTAACAATTGTTTCTACTGACTCTAGACATTTTGAGGTGGACGAAGGAGGCGGGGCCATAACACGACCTGTAAGCCCAGAGTTGACTGCACTAGAGGTCCACCCGGGGAGTACTCTAGCTCCCAGGGTAACACCCTCCCACTGTGACACGGGATATCAAATGCATGAGGTGCAGTGGGTGCCCAGATTTTAAAAAATAAAATAAAAAGGTGCCATTCCTCCCCTCAGAACTGACGGCTGGCAGGGTCTCGTGGTCTGCTGTATGGCTTACTTCTCTTTTCCTCTTTTAACCCTAACTGAATAGAATCCCTCATAGTTGGAGAGCAGCTCAATCTGGGCCCCTGCCCGCCCTCATTCTGTGCCCACTGTGCTTACTGCACAGGACACCGGCTCATGGCTGCACGTCTCCCCACACTTGCCCTCTTCCTCCCCATGATCCTCCTCTCCCTCGGTTGCCTTCAGTAGACCCCACCACTGGACACAAAAGTACCCACATACTGCTTCCCCTACATCCACACCTCTCAGTGTGGTCTCTGGAACAATCTGTTCATTTGGAAACTGGTTCAAAATGACCGGTTGGAGCTTCAGACATCCTAGGCCAGGAACTCCTGGAGCTTCACCCAACCGTGTTTCAGGAAGTGCTTCAGGGGCTTCTGCTGCATTCAAGCTTGAGAGCTGCAGGTCTGCACCGCTGCGTGCTAGCCCCACCCCTACCACTTCCTGTGCTGAGGGCCCGCTCCCATTCCCTTCTACCCACCTCCACCCACTGTGAAGACTGGCCTGTCCTGATTCCCCTGCACCTCCGCATCCATGGCAACCCTCACTAACTTAGTCAGGAGCTAACTTCCCATGTTTCTGTCACAAATGCAGATTGACTGTTTCTCATGTTTATCCAGTCAAATCTCAATGCATTGACTGTTTCTCATGCTTACTCAGTCATATCTCAATGCATTTTAAGTGTAGGGTGTTTCTCTTGCACGTATGTTTGTGCGTCATGCGCCTGCCTGGTGCCTGTGGAGGCCAGAGAGGACATCAGAGCATCTGGAACTGGAGTTACAGACAGTTGTGAACTGCCATGTGGGTGCTGGGGCTCGAACTAAGGTCCTCTAGAAGAGCAGTCAATGCTCTTAACTAATGAGCCATCTCTTCAGCCTCTCAATTATTTTGACACTAATATAAAATAGTTTATTCTAGTCTAAACAACCTATAACTTCAAACATAATACATAAGGCCAGTTTCCACCATACATTCATGCTGGACATGTGAGCTCCAAAATGTTAACTGATGGTCGGGCAGTGGTGACGCACGCCTTTAATCCCAGCACTCAGGAGCTCAGGAGGCAAAGGCAGGGGGACCTCTGTGTGTTCAAGGCCAGCCTGGTCTATAGAGTGAGTTCCAAAGCTATACAAAGAACCCATTTCGGGGGGGGGGGGGAGCCACGCTGTTTGCACAGTGGAGTCAGTGGAGTTTCCCAGTCACCCATGGGTCAGATCACACACACACACACACACAGCACCCATAGGTGTGAAGCCCTCCAAAAGCCCATAAGAAATGAAGGAATGGCCCCTGCTTTTCTCTTGCTTACTGTTCTCAGTGATGCCATCTGGCAGGGCTGAAGCTTCCTGTCTGGACTCATCTTCCCTGTGTATGCCACATGTGTGTGCATGTGTGCATGTGTGTGCATGAGTCAGAAGGTGCCCACATCTGTGCACATGCAGAGCCAGAGGATGGCGTTGGGCATCCTGCTCTAACACTCCACTCTGTGCCCTTGAGGAAGGGCTCTCACTGAGCCTGGATCTCACCATTTGTCCACTCTGCCTCAGCACCGTGACTGCAGCTGCCCAGTCTACACTGACTTTATGTAGGTGCAGGGATCTGAACTCAGTTCCTCATGCTGGCACAGCCAGTGCTCTCACCCACTGAGCCCTCTCCCCAGCTTCTGCTCTTCTAATGCTTACATCCAAGCATCTACATTTATAACTCCCTTCTAAACACTAGACATAATGCTTGAAATGCACGCAGCCACATGCCGTGGGTGACATGAACAAAAGACTGTATGCAAGAGTGGTCCATAAAAGTATCACAGAGCTGAAACCCCCACTGTCATCCACAGAGTGCTGTGCTACATGGAAAATGACCGACCCTGCCACCTGCTACAAGTGCAACCCATACAATTATGAACAATACACACTGGGCCCTGGCAGTAAACAGCCACATTACTGCTTTACCACTTACTATGCTATACTTTTATCATTATTTTAGGGAGGACTCCTCTATTTACAGAAAAAAAAAAAAACTTTCTGTAAGGTATCCTCACATCCTGTTTACTGTATCTCCTGAGGTCACATATGTAAGTACACTCTATGATGTCACACAACAGCAAAATTGTGTAATGATGCATTTTCCAGAATGTATTCTTGTCAACAAACAATGCATGCCCGTTTCATATTACACTTTATTTCAGGCTATTTCTACCCCCTGAGGCACTGCCATAGATATTAATCATAAGCATGATGACCGCAACTGTCTCGAGTACAAACTCAAGTCTGTAACTGCCATAGCCATCGTGTGTCCAGAGAGCCCCAGCTGGGTCAGTGTGTACACGGATGTCTTCTGAGTTAGTCTGAACTAGCTCTTTTCAGCACGCTGGCCATGATGGCTTTCTCTCCCTCTTTTACTCACAGATTTGGTTTGCCTGAATTAATCACTCCTTAAAAACAAGCACAAAGAGTAAAAACAACCTATTTCTAGACATTTTAAAAGTGAGTTGGGTGTAGTTTGTAAAACGGAATCTGTTGGGACATACAGTTCAAAGCTACTGTTCCCCACAATATGAAATATCGTGACAGTAATTTAGAAATCTTGCTCTTCTCAAGGAACAGGCCACCCCAGGGCTCAGAGTTTTGTTGGTTTTGGTTTGGTCTGGTTTTTGAGACAAAGTCCCTCTATTATGTAGCTCTGGATGTCCTCCAGGACCAGGCTGTCCTCAGACTCACACAGATCCACCTGCCTCTGTTTCCCAAGTGCTGGGATTAAAGGTGGGTGCCACCATGCCTGGTCTCAGTTTTATTTGTGCTGAAATGACCTTGTTTATGTAATCCAGACTGGCTTCAACTCACAACCTCTTGCCTCTGCCTCCCAAATACCAGGATTAGAGGTGTGTGCCGCCTCATCTAGTCAAATCTCCATCACTAAGGTCCCACTCCTCCTGAACCCTCCCCCCACCAGGGAAACACACCAAAGAAGAGCACTTTGCAGAGGTTTCATGTCCCTTAGAATAAGGAGCCACCTCTCTTCAAAGTAATGTCAGGCAAGAGACCAGTCAGAACCCACAGATTGGAAACAGAAATTTAATTTCAGAATATTACATGAATATAAAAACAATATATATGGTTGTTTCTTTATAATTACATATATATGCAAAATAACCAAAAGTAACAAACAGGTGCAACCTTCTCTTAAGAAACCTTCTGGGGGTCGAGTGAGCACATGGCAAGCACAAGCAAGCCTTGCTAAAAGGCCCTGGGTGAGAGAATGCCTTCTCTACAGCCCACTGGTCCACGCATGTCAGAGGCATGCTCCAAGGCTCTTTAGCTTGGGCTATGGCCTCACATACTCCAGTTTCCATGGCGACACAAGCACTCAGGCTATTTATCCTCCATCTCCTTACTAGCTCACCTCCATCAACTGCACACTGCTCCCAGCATCAGCGGTCTAGTTAGTAAAGCCTGCTTTTGACAGTGAGTCTGCCATGGGTGCTTCTTCAGCAATCCTGACTGCTCTAGGAGAACCTTCCAAGTGAAGCACATTCTATGTGGAGGGTCAACTGTGGCTTCCCTCAGAACTCATCAGTCATGCCTCTAAAATGTTCTGGAGCTCAGATACAACCAATGTCTCCCAATTCTCGTTTCCTTCACAGTGGGTATGAGTTGGGGAAGGGGAGGTTCAAACCTGATTACTGATCTCAGTGAGAAAATACACTTCTGTGAAAGATTAGGTAAAGGGCCCAGCCTCCACTCATTCACCCAGTGCAGATCCAAATTCAACATGATCTATCTCTTCATTCTTGCGGCCCTCTGACAAATATACTAGCCTGTGTTGACACAACATCAAAGCCTGTGGTAAAATTAACCCCAGAAAGAAAGGAAAAGTACTTCCAAAGAGATTGCTCCAACATTAAAAAAGAAACACAACAAACATCTTTTAAGACACAGGTTAGCTGGGCAGTAGTGGCACATGCCTTTCTTTAATCCCGGCAGAGGCAGGAGAACTCTGAGTTCAAGACCAGCCTGGGCTATGGAGTGAGTTCCAGTACAGTCAAGGCTATACAGAGAAATCCTGCCTCAAAAAAACAAACAACAACAACAACAAAAACATATGTTAAAAACCTTGGTTAAATACTGGCTCAAAAACAGCAAGTGTATGCTCCATCAGAAGGGCAACAGCAATCTTCTGGAGCAATGATGGAGCTTTTGTCTGAGGGTCCCAGAAGACACCACAGGATTAGAACAGTCACATAGTACAAGACACAGGAGGCTATGCTGTTCCTCAAGTTTATTCTGCACTGGATCACAGCTTCAGAAGAAAAATATGACCTATAATACCCTTAAAGCAAAAGAATAACTAGCCAATAAATAAATAAAATACACATTCCCAAATACACATGGTAACTGCCCAAGAAACCAGCTATAGAAAAGCATGTGCATGGGGTAAACTCTCTCACCACCTCACCCAGACCACCCCAGTCCCTCACACCCGACTCCTTGGTCCTGCTCGCTCTCTAACAGAGCCAAATTCCTGCAGGCACCAAATCACCACTCGGCTCTCTGCCCAGTGCCACAGTACAGCACAGTGGAAGACACTTAAAGGAAGCTTCATGCTGGGAAAAAACGTCTTTGACTCAGTAATACAAAAGGATTTCTGTTTGACCTCACTATACACCTAACACAAGAAATTTATTTAAAAAGAAATAAACCTTTTCTTAGTAACAACAAAAAGAGTCAAACAGAAACCTAGACAAACGAACTTGCTAATGAAATCTTTAAGGATGACCTAAAACTCCCTTTGAGAAAGGAGCTTAAACACCTCTGCTGTTCCCAATCACCACGTTTGCCTTTACCACTGCTACTACAGCAACAGCATAAACAGGACAGGATGGAAGAGGCTGACGGACAGACACGGAGTCGGCCTCTGCTACCCCGAAGGTGGCTCTCATTTCAACAGTAACACAGCATTTTCAATTGTCTATCACTAAGTTGGCAAACCGTATTTTGCTGTGTACCTGGATCCCCACAGTGGGGTAAGGATGGTTGCACAGTTCTACAGAGTCAGCCCATACCTCAACATCCTCACCTGCCACCCGATGCTCACTGGGCAGTGGCTCTGCTGTACTCTTGCTTCCTGTGCCCATCCTGACAAGGAGAGGGGCAGAGAGCAACTGTTTTAGATGACTGGGGAACACCACAACTGCTCCTGTAGGGACTCTTCTATTGCATATGGGCCCTACAGAGACTGCTATGCATGTCTCTCCTGGTTCCAAGCTGCTCTCAGGAGACAGTTGAGTGGCATATTACGATACCTAGGAATGTGTGCCAGGATCCTACCAAAGCCAACCAGTCCCTCATGGATGACTTCAGAGTCTCTACCACATGCAGATTGCAGCAAGCTCTATGGATCAGATTGTGGCTCTTCTCAAGCCCCAGGAGTCTGGCACAGAGGTGTCAGTGGAACCAGAGATGTTTGGGTGAGAGGATCCTAATGCAGAAAGCAAGTTAGCAACCACACAACCATTCTCACATCACTGAGGGGAAGACAGTGAGGCATGGGGATGCAGTTCAGTAGCTGAAATCTGTTAAAATATACTGTACTGAATTTCTTTTCATTGCCAGGTCAAATCCCCTAAATTAGACAAGAAATAACAGAATGTCTAGGAAAGCTGTAAATTCTTTGAACATAATAAGATACAGAGATTTCTCAAGCTCAAAATGAAAGGGAGTCAAAGGCATTTAACTTAAAATCCATGTAGGTTATGAATCTAAACGATGGCTTTTAAAACAAGTAAATAAACAGTCACTTATTCACAACACAGAGAAAAGTCCCAAACCAGTTAATATATAACAGCCCACTAAGACTGACAGTGCTTTTCAAAAATATTACTAGCTATTAAACATAAAATTTCCTATTCTTAAGAAACAGAACCAAAAAAGAAGAAGAAACAGAACCAACCCAAGCACATTGATTAAGCATAGCTGGGGCCTGCCCACCTACTGCACTGTGTAAGCTGGCAGGTGTTGAGGAGCTTCCTCATATTAAAAACAAACACAGAGAACAGAACATTCTCTCAGAGGCACAGCTTCAAAGACATCCAGTGAGTGGGTTAGAGGTATCAGTCGGTCATGGTTTGATTGGTTTTCACAATTCGAAATGCAGGGAGCGAGCTGCAAGCTTCACTGGGAACAAAAGCAACACCTGTCCCACTGAAGAGAACTTCACTGTGGACAACAGGGGAACTCTAGCGACCCTTCAGAGGAATCCTAGGTTAAAACAGAAATAAGAGGATTAGACATTAATTAAAACATTCATTTTTTTAAATACCCCATCTAAAAGCTACAGAATCTACACTTAGTATTTTCTCTACATTTAGGATTAAATATGTGAGAATGTGACCCTCTACCAAGTAAACATCATTAAGTCTGCTTGGTCTAATCCCAGTTTGTTACGTCTTCTTAATGACAGTGGCAGTCATCACTTAGTAGCAGCATGTATGATGATGGCCGTTGCCCCCAGTTCCTGTGTACATTATCTCATCTGTCCTAACAGCTGCCTATATGGAGAAAGTAGTACACTGTCATTTCACAGATGCAGAACCTGCAGCCCACAGAAGCTAACCTGTCCCAGGATAGAAAGCTATCAAGCACTACCAAGTCTAAGTGAACATGGAGCTTGTGCTATTACCAGCACTGCCCTGCTCACCAGAGAACGTTTACTAAAACCAAGAGCACAAGCCACTGACACTACTGAGACAAGGAGAAGAACAAAAGGACTGACGGCAGATGGGTGTGCATGCACATGTGTTCGCAGGACTAGGGGCTGAACCCAGGGTATTGTGTATTCTAGGTAGGTGCTTTAACTGATATTATAGATCCTTAAGTCTGACCCTTGCCTTCTCAAACCAGATGCAGAGATATGACAATACAGATGAAGTAAATACCATAAATCATAGTCAATGCCCATACTTTAGAAGTGCTGATAAGAGTTCAATGGCTCAATTAGCCAGACAAGGTCTCAAAGAGGACAGGGAGGGAAGGTTCAGCTGAACTTTAAAGAATTAGAAAGATTTGACTACTAAAAATAATGCCCCTTGAAGAGTGGGGGTTCTATCATGGGTTTTCATCTGGGATAATTTTGGCCCCATATCCAGAAGGGACACTGGTAATAACTGGAGGAATTTTCAGTTACAATTGAGGGCAGGATGCTAGTAGCATCTGCTGAATCAAAGCTGCTAGATATCACCAATGCACAAGGCAGCTCCACACAAGGAATTATGATCCAAAGTGTCAACAGTGGCCAGTTGTATCCATTGTCCTGTAAGAGAGATACATGGCAGACGGGCCCTGAATTGCAAGCGAGGAGACTAGAGTTCAAATCTAAAGATGATTTTGGGGAATGAGCTGTGAAAGCAGATCAAGAGGCTAAAGATGCAAAATACAAGAGAGAAGAGTGGAGAACTTAATGCAACTAGCCAAAAATAAGCCAGATGTGGTGCTATACAATCATCTATAATGCCTAAAATCCCAGCTACTCAGAAGGCAGAAGGAAATCTTAAGTTTAAGACCAACCTGGGAAACCTAAAAGAAATCATGTCTCAGATCTCCTGAGTAAATTGGAAGCAATAAAATTTAAAAAAAAGAAATCATATCTCAGAAATGGAAGAAAGATGGTGGTGGTGGTGGTGCACACCTTTAATCCCAGCACTTGGGAGGCAGAGGCAGGCTGATCTCCGAGTTCAAGGCCAGCCTGGTCTACAGAGTGAGTTCCAGGACAGCCAAGGAAATACAAAAAAACCCCTGTCTTGAAGAAAGAAAAAAAAGAAAAACTTTGGTGACCAGGTCTAAAGTCTACACATAAGAACAAGGTGATTTGAGCAGACTCTCGGCACGGCCGTTCTCAGCCTCACACAGCATTTGTACTTATCCCACCCGGTTTAACACATATTGATGTGTGGGTCCTATCTGTCCAGTAGGTCTGTATTTGAAACCGTCCCTCAGTACCTGAGGGCAGTGCTAAGTAGAATAACCATCCAAATTCCCTCTGACTACAGTTACAGCATGTTGGCCATTCCAAACAAGAAACACTGCTGACAGAAAACAGACAAGAACGGCATCAGTAAGAGCAGAGACAACCACGACAATTACCTTTTCTCCCCTCTTTCTTCCCCTCAGACCATTTCAGTCTTGTTGGTGTCATTGTGACGGTTGGAGAACCAGAAAAGAACTGTAATGAGAAAAGTGTACAGTGGCTTAAAGACCATTTCAGTCTTGTTGGTGTCATTGTGACGGTTGGAGAACCAGAAAAGAACTGTAATGAGAAAAGTGTACAGTGGTTTAAATGATCAAATATCAGTGCCTCTTTACAGAGACGTAAGTATACCTAACTAATCTTAACTGGCTATTCTTAGTTTAATGAAATAGCCTAGGCACATTTTCTTGATTAATGATTGATGTAGAAGGCTACAGGCACTGTGGGGATGTCCCCTGAGCAGATAGTCCTAGGTTCTACAAAAAAAAGAAAAAAAGAGAGAGAGAGAGAGAGAGAGAAAAAAGCTTAGAGAGCCATGGGGACAAGCTAGTATGCAGTGTTCCTCTGTGGCCTCTTGTATTCCTGCAATGACTTCCCTCCATCATGGACTGTACGCTGTAAGCTAAATAAATAAACCCCTTGCTTCCTGAGTTTTAGTCAGTGTTTATCATAGCATCAAAACACACATTAATAATACACATGCTATATCTTTTTTGAACTCAAAACATATCGAATGGCCTGGCGGTGGTGACACACGCCTTTAATCCCAGCACTCAGGAGGCAGAGGCAGGCGGATCTCTGTGAGTTCAAGGCCAGCCTGGTCTACAAGAGCTAGTTCCAGGACAGGCACAAAGCTACAGAGAAACCTTGTCTAAAAAAAGAAAGAAAGAAAGAAAGAAAGAAAGAAAGAAAGAAAGAAAGAAA